AGGGAAAGTTGACTTGAACCTTTAACCTTTATCTACATACCCATAGATGAAGGGCATACAAAATTCGTTCTTGGAAAGCTTATATTTATTTGAAAAAAGATAGAATTATCAAACCAGAGAAACTCCTCTTTTTATCTACATAACCCATAGAAGAAGGGCATACAAATTTCGGTGTTTGGGCGCATTCAACTGCTTTGCTTACATTTATTACCTTGGGGCGGGTGGAAAATTGGGTCAACCGTTTGGCGCTGTTGCTATTAAAAGTCGAGCCCGACATGATTTGGGCGCCTTTAGCACTCGCAGCTGCAGTTGTTGCTTTCGCCTTTGCGTTTGCGTTTGTGTCTGTTTCCGTTTCCGTTTCGAGTCAACGGTCACGCACGCAATTACAGCTGCAGCTGCAGCTGGCTTTTTGGGCAAACTGATAGAAAGCTGACACTGACGACACGATTTTGATTTACAGCCATAAGCAGCTAATCTACACGCTACTTGATTTCTTAACTATTTTTGGAGCAGGTTGATGATGCAAACGCTTCTAGGAAATTAAGTCGTAATATGCCTTTTCATTTGTATACCCTGAACCCATTGAAAATGGGTAAAAGAGGTATAATGGATTTGTGCAAATGTACGTAATTTTTTCCTAGAGTCTTTACACTTTTAGGCCTCTCTCTTTATTATTCGTTCGCTTAAACTCCTCCACTTTTGCGCTCTCCTTCGCCTTTCTATGCGATTTTCAAAAAGTTTAAATAACAGATTTTGACTAAAAATCCACCAACTGTAGCTCTAAGAGATTTTAAAGCCTCTCTCTTTGTTATTCGTTCGCTTTAACTCTTCGACTTTCACGTTTTGTTTCATTTACTGAATATCGCCTATCTATGCGATTTTCAAAAGCTTCAAATAACAGATAACAGATTTTTATCGTATTTTGACTAATAATACATCCAATGTATTATTCTTAGTCAAAGCGAGCTCTAACTGCACTTCCCTTTATATTCTTTAATATCTGTGTAAAGTCTTTCCCCCTTTTTTTTACACTCCTTCCGTTTTGTTAAACCCTCCTGGCCTTTTTTTCAAGCGTTCCAAGCTATGATTGATGGTTCTACACATCGGTTGTTTAAAAAATAGCTGCAAATGCATATGCAAAACCTTTTTGGCCATTAAATATGCAAATTTGCCAGTCATATTACAAGAACAACCGCAACTGCAACTGGAAGTACTCAATGGCAACAGGTGTGCACATTGCAATTTGCATGCCACGAACGGTGCATCATTTATGAATATTAAACACATTTAAGGCATGTCTTAGGCTAATCCGAATGTCGCCATGGGCGATGTGGGCGCAATTGGCAGCTATCGATTGATGTGCAAAAATAAACAAATCATTTAATTCACACTGAACATTTTCCAATTTCTTGCATTTTGTCTGTTTTTCTGTCAGGTGTGTGCCTAGCAACTCACGCCAGCAGGTGTATAAAGGTGTGTGCGTGTGTGTAAGTTTGTTGTGTGCGTGCTGGCACGCTATGAAGAAATTCCTTTGGAGCAGCTCCCAGCTAGGGTCTAACAGGCGTATTAGTATTATTCATAAGGCACCATTTGCTAAGGTCTACCATCAGAGCGTCTTTTTATTGTCTAACCCGGTTCCATTTTATAGGGTATGCCGAGGTGTATTCGCCAGCTGGAAATAAATATTACTCATATATCATTTCTCATTCATTCTTCTTTGAATCTACATTTTTTATTACCTCAACAACTGCGTTATGAATCATGCAACAAACAATAAATTAATTCGGGAACTGGCACAACTTAAAGCTGAAGAAAACTATTCTTGAATCTAATGAAAATAAAAAGAAGTTTGACGAAGGCTTGAACACAAACCTGGGCTTATAAAATGGGAAAGTCGGGTTCCCGAAGGGTTCTTTAAGGCGTACAAATACAACTAATACCTGGAAGAACTGTTCTAACTGCCAAGAATATGAAGAATGTTGCCCAAAGCAGATTCCAAGCAAAACAAAACTTAGAAGAATTAATTAGTTAGATACTTTAAAGACTTCCGCTTACTTTAAGGAATATTTCTGAAAGTCGTAGAGCCTATTTCAAGGAATGTTCCCTTATGATAAACGGAACCCTTTTTAAATATGCAAGAACTTATAGGGTATGCCTGGGTGGGGCATGCTCATGCTTAACTATTTACAAGTATGATCAATCGAGGAATACTGCCTTAAAGTAACGAGAAACCCTTTTAAGTAAGCAACATTTTATAGGGCATGCCTGGGTGGGGCATGCTCATACTTAGCTATTTCCACGTAGCACATTTTTCTTGTTTTTTTGCAATTATTAGCGATTTTGCTTCGATTCCGTGTTATTTGGTTCCAATGGCAACGCCGACGCCAAACGTAGCCAAGGCCCCGGGAGGAGGGTCTCCCAATTGGTAATTTGTGGCTAAAAGCATTTTCTTTTGCTGTCTGCAGTGCCGGGGCGGAGTTCAGTTGGAGTCGTTCGTTCTCGGAGCCGGACCTTGCAGCCAGTCACAAGCACAGGGATCGCTTTGCCATCGGCCAGCCGCACGAGTACATTGCCATTGACGATCTCAAGTTCTTCCGGCGCCGCCAGCCCGTCCAGCTGCACACGCACAGCAACTTCTGTCTGTACAATAGCGCGGAGCCAACGGTTGCCTTCGGCTCATTGAAGTCCGAGTACACCAGGAATTATTGCTGCAAGGGCCACGCCGACGCCCGGCCACCGCGTACCCTGCTGAGGCGTGCCACATCGCTACGGCTGGAGGGCTTGATGCAGCTGCTGTCCGAGCATCAAGACAAATATCACTGGTACACGGCCGAGGATCTGCAGTTGTAAGCTGACCCCCAAAATTTGTATGCACAGATAACTATTTTCCACCCCCCCCTCAGTGCACGCACGTATCCGGTGCGCAATCCGGAGAGCTGGCAGCTGGGCGGCACGCATGGAGACGGGAACATGAAGAGCTCCTCGTATCTATCACATCCCATGGTGGACAGCGGCGCCCAAATACTGCCGCGGGAAATGTTCCGCGACGACAAGGAGCCGTCCAACCGGCTGGCCAGCGACAAGTTCAAGCGTGATGTGGCCGCCCGGGAGCAGAATCGTTGCCACCTGCAGATGCGAGCCGAGGACACACAGTACGAGCCAACGCCGTCCGAGTACAAGCGTCAGTATGTGGAGCAGTTTCCCATCGAGAAGGCGCACTCGATACCACAGATCAGCAGCATCAGGATGCAGGGCGAGTTCCATGCTGTGCCGGAATACCAGGACAGCTTCAAGATGTACGCCAACTACTCGAAGAGTGCGCCCATCAAGAAGCACGACAATCTGCGCATCTCTGGCGCCGAGCAGGAGCCAAGCGAGGCGAGCGGCGGTGATTTGCCCGAATATCGCGATAAGTTTAATGTCCCACCCAAGCACATGGCCAAGGAGAAGTCCCTGAAGACGGACGATCATCTGCGGCCACGCGGCGAGTTCACCAAAGAGGTGCCCGAGTATTACGAGAGCTTCCGTGATCCGCACATCACCGAGATGCCGGAGCGCGGCAAGGTGCGCGAGCCGTGCCTGCGTCTGCGCGGCAAGATCGAATTTAATCCAGAGTATAGCAATAACTATCTGAACTTTCCACGCGCCCGGCCGGTGCTGCGCAAGCCAGTCTCCTCCTTCCGGCTGCCCACCGCAAGCACCACCAACACGAACACGAACACGAACACCACCGCCGCCGCGACCAGTCCTCAGTTGCCCGCGGCCAGTAGCATGACGGCCAACGAGCTGACCGCCACGCCCGAGTATCGTCGCGCCCAGTACAATTACCAGTTGCGGGAACGGGAGCGGGAGCGGCCACGCGAGCTGAATGCTGCTCCAGCTGGTAATCTGCGCAAGAGCTCCGACTCCTCGCTGGATGCCGGCCACTGCCCGCTGCAGTCGCAGGCCAAGCGACGTCCGTCTCGACAGCGTCAGCTGAAGGAGGCGCCGCCAGCTGCACCGAGCTTCGAGGATGTGGCCACTGGTGGCTCCAAGAAACCGGCCAGATATGGACGGCGCGGCTCCGTCCAGCAGAACGCGGCCAAATGCCGTGACAAGTCCTCCATCATTGAGGGCAATCCCAAGTATGCCGCCGGCTGTCGCCGCCAAGCCAAGCAGAGCACAGAGAATCAACAGGGCTCCTTTGTGGTGCTCGACGAGCCATGCAAGCCTTCCAATTGGATGAAGAAGACCTGGTACGATTCCTAGGCAAATTCATCAATCAATAAAGAATTTACTTATAAACACGTATTTATAAAGATTTTGATGGGGCACCTAAATTGTTGAGCTCTATAAGAACATGCCAAATCTCTTGGCTTATGATCTTATTTAACATCCTAATACTATATAATATTATGCCATCGAATTAATTCTAGAATCCAAACATAGAGTTAAAAATTTTTGATCTTAGAAAAACACTTTTCCATTGTATTATCTAAATTTGAAAACTACTTATAAACTTTTCCATCTGAAAATTTCTCATTGTAAAATTTACAAGTACGTTTTAATAGTTTGCATCCTTAGCCTAAACATTATAATATTTTAGAGTTTATTCCTTACTTAAGTAATATTTTTGGAAAGATTTAAGCATCTAGTGAAGTAGTCGCGAGAAGATGAAGAGAAGAAGCGAGAAGTTTAAAAGTTTCTATTCTTAAGCAATAATCAGAAACGACGGCTATTTTCTGATTGTTCCTATATCAGTCAAATAATATAAGAGTCCAAAGATATCTTTAAAAAATAGACAAAGCAAAGGGTATAAAGAAGCCCAGAAGCAACGATTAGATCCGACCCGTTTAACATCTGCTCTTAACGCTTTTCGGTTCGCTTCTCTCGGCGCTCCGGAAGATCTGTGAGAGCGTAAACTTGGGCACGTAAACATAAACAAACCTTGGCGGGTTTTCAAACACGCGACCAACTCAACTTGTTTATCTAATCTACACGCCCATTGATAAGCGAGCCGAAAGAGCGACGCTTACTCATAGATCCGTAGTATCATCAGGAATTTTGCAATCGAAGCATGTGGAGAGCAGCTGCGAACTAAGGAGAGTAATTATAGGGAACACAATATTGGACATGAGCGTGGAGGTGGGTCATGCGGCCAGTCCGCCTGGTCATATACTGGGCTATGCGATACGCAGCCATACGCGCATCTATGTCTCCTACATAATTCCCACTTGCTTGGCGCTGTTGGTCTATATGCTGCAGACGTCCACAGACTTGGCCTTGAGCTATCAGCATTTCCGGCAGCATGAAAACGGCTACGGAGCCGGCACACTAATACTAGTGCTTGTGCCACCGCTGCTCACCTGCTTCCTGGTGCTCAGCTCCAGGGACCAGCGCAGCAGCGCCAGCGACGCCAGTCGCAATAAGTTTGTGGCCTGCAGCCTGGGACTGTTGCAGCTGCTCCTCTTTCCATTCGCCGTACTCTACAGGTGAGCTTAAGAAGAATATATGGCTCCTGCTCTATAAGCTCAATCCTCCCCAGGTTCACCAAGCGCCTGTTTTGGTCCGTTGAGGCGCTTTTCCACGCCGACGACGATGTGGAGCGCATGAAGTGCCTGTCCAAGGCAACGCAAACCTCCAGCATCGAACTGTACCTGCTGATCCAGGCCTACGCCCAGGCGGCGCCACAGATTATACTGCAGATGTACCACATGCTCGCCCAGGACATCTTTCGCAACTACGAGACATGTGAGTACAGAGGATTGGTTTTCATCCGAGTCTGGTTTAAGTGAATGCCTCAATTGCAGCCGCACTGCAGGGCATGTGTCTGGTATTCGCGGCCATAGATCTGGCCGGGATCACCACCAGCTATCATCGCATCGAGAGCCAGCGTCGCGTGGGTCGTAACTATCCCTGGGCAACGGCGCAGCAGGTGGAGGCCCAGCGCTGTCGGCTGGAGCAAAACGAGCGGCTGTGCGGCGAGGTTGAGCGCAGGAAACGCGAATCGGAGCGCACGCTGGCAACAAGCTTTCCGCAATCGGAGAAAATCATGCAGAATTTTCATGCCAGGCAGATGGATAGCCAGGTTGGCAGCCATGAACTGCACATAAGCGGATATGATGAGGTGGACAATGATGGAATGGAGACGCTGGAAACCAAAGTTCTGCTGCACTCGCCGACAGCAGCTGCCGGCAACATCACAGATGATGATAAGATATACCAGGCCAGGCCCAAATTACAGCTGCGACGCGAAGAGCTCAAGCATTTGGATAGCATCGAGGTGCTGGATACAGTGCCCGAGACGCCAGCGCCTCCGCCTCCGCCCGCCACTGCGCCGCCGGCGCTGCCCATGCTGCGGCTGCCCACAGACAATAGTCCGCCGACGGCCGCACCAGATCTGCGACGCACTGTTTCGGATACTGAACACAGACGCAGCCGGCTTGTGACACGGCCACTCTCCCAGCTGGAGACATTCAAAGACATGCTGCTGGTCAATGCCCAGCTGTACATCAAGGAGCACGTGCCGCGGCCGCCCAAAGTGCTGATGGGACGCGTCAATGAGGAGCCCAGCGATGATCGCACTCCATTGGTGCTGGCACAGACGCCAAAGGGCACGCCCGTTACGCCCAAGGATGTGGTGGACTTCTACTTTCCGCGGCCCACAAAGATTGTCAACGGCATACAGCAGGATGACTTTGCGGGCAAAACCGTTGCCTTCTTCGGTTGGATAGCGTTCATCACAATGCGCATGCTCTCGCTGGCCATGTTCTGTGTCTTCTATCCACGTGCCTTCTTCATCATTGTGGGCGTGCACTATGCCCTAATGCTGGCCGCTTTGGCGCTGGAGACACGTTGCCGCGTCAGCTGGAGCCGCTCGTTGTTCTATCTGCTCCTCGGCTACATCTACATTTTTGTGCTGCTCGAGTTCCGTGTGTGCTTCAAGAGCGTAAAGAGATGGTATGTCTGCTACCTGATGCTCATACTGGTGGAGAACATAACCATGTCAGCGATTTGGTATGCGAACGAGCAGTTCGAGTCCTGGTGGTTCGGCTTTATTTGGGAGTGGATCGTTTACAGCGGCATTTTGTTTCTGGCCACGATCGTGGTCTACTACTGTATACTGCGTCCCAAGGATGTCACGCTCATCGTGGAGGACGAGCCAGCAGCCCAAGGGGATCAATCAGAGCAAGCGCCGGTTGCTTAGCAGCGCCGTTGCCAGGCTCCGAATATGTTTGGCCTGACACAGCAGTCGGTCAAGCACTTTTCATTGTCGCATATTAGCTCGTATAACACAAAAATAAATTATTTTCGTTACTATTTACACTAAAAAGCGCTTAAAAATGAAACGCAACGATAATTTTCGCATCTTGGGCAAGGGCCCCTGCCCCGCTGAGATTACCGAAACTCAGCAAAGCTTTGGCACACCCTACAGAAACAAAAAGCTGAGTAAGGGCGAACTGTTTGTTAATATTTTAGCGTCTGATTCAGTTATTTACCTTATATTGTAGTTACACGCGCTAATCGTATGGAACAATACCTGTGGAAAGAGTTTCTGGACGAATACAATCGTCAGAATTTAGTTAAGGTCGACTTGGGCCCCAATCACACCGAGTATTTTGAACAGTTCTGCAAGGATAAGCCGCCGGAAGACGAAGAGCGTTTGGAAGTGCGCATTAACAAGTATCCCCTCTACTGCACCACGGCCATAACTTTATGGAATCATGAGGGCGACGTTTCGAAGACTTTCAAAGTGAAGTATTCTGTGACCAGGCCATTGGCGGAATGTACCGAAAAGTTTGGACCTTAATCCAAAAAAAAAAAATCGTTATTGTTCAGTTGAGTTTTAATGTTCTGTGTGAATTTACATGTATGTATTACGGACGCAACACATACAGCTAAGCATGCAAAATCTTAGTTTATCTTAAATTAAATGCTATTTAAATAACGGAATAATTAGAGAGACTTTCTGATGTTAATCGATTGACCGATAACCGGTCTATTGTTACAAGTGTGTACACACAGTTTTGTAGTGTGGTCGCCAGCCCTTGTTCTCGTGCGTATAGGGCAACACTGCCGCTGACGTGTCTGTAAAAATATCGAAGCTGAAACAGGCGGTGCAGGCTATTTACGCATTTTTTATTTATTATCCTATAGCATATAAGTTGCGTTTAACAGCGCCACACAATATAGGACAATGTTGAAACTAGGTAAGTAATTATTGATAGTGAAAAATCAATGGCAAAGTCAATCGGCCCTCGTGTGTGCGGCCCAAACGCCGGCATAGGCGCTGTCGCTGTCGCTGTCTCGTTCTCTGTCGCTATTGCCGGCGTCGGCGTTGACTTCGCAGCTACGGCACAAAAACTTGGCCAACACATTCTAAAAAATATTTATTTTTTTTATTTTTACAACAGGCTTCATGATTCTATGCGTACTATGCGCTGCAGCAACGACTTGGAGTACGCGCACCGTCGATAGTCATCTGGGGCCAAAGGATCTCACCCGCCTGCAAAAAGTGTTCGTTGATGGCCTCAGTTCCAACGATTTGCAAGCGATTTTCTTCGCCAGCTTAAACATTGAAACAACTGATGCTGCGACAAAGGAAGCGCTATGCCAGAAGATTGTGGCGCTGCATGCGGAATCCAAACTTAATGTGAGTATCGCTTAGTGCTCATCCAATTCTTTTTTGACCATTTGCCTATTTTTAGAACTTCGAAAAAGACTACTACCTAATTGGCGCCCACAGGAACCTGCGTTGCACAGCAAAACTTGCTGAAACTTTGCTCTCCAAGGTGTACAGTTCACTGGAATCGGAGCTGGGCACCACACAGGAGATTTACTATCGCGTAGTGACTCATAAGGCGCTTGGCGTTCAGGTTAGCGAAGCAGCTCAGTCAAAAATTGTGAAACGTCTGCAGGAACTGCTGAAACGAGATGACACGCTGAGCGGTCTCGGTTATGCATTCAATGTGGCTATCCAACTGGGCCCTAGCGCCAGTTTCATTGCCAATCGCATCGAGGATGCTGTTGTGCAGGCTGACGAGGTCGATGGCAAACTCTTGCAATTCGAGGGCGGACTAAGCATTACGGCTTTAATACTCAATGGCGTTTTTGGCGTGTCGAAAGCTTTCAACAAGCCAGCACCTGTTACGCCCGAACAGGCCGTTAAATTTGCCAACTATTTGCTGAGTCGCCGCTCTGTGCAAACCGCTAAAGGAGCCCATGTGCTCATCGAGGCGCTAAAAACCATTAGCAGCACGGAAAAGGTAGCGCCCATCTGCATACAGCTAATTGGCAACGGACAACTTGAGTCGCAGTCACCCACATTGAACGTGGCCATTGTCGATTTGCTCGGCAAACCTCTGTCCCCAGCCGTGCAGAGCCTCAGTGCCAAGATTAGTGTCAAGAAGGATAACTCAGTGTTGGCGGAAAAGATTCAATTAGTTTCCAAGTCTTCAGACAAAACCACTTACGTTGCCGATTTGAGCAGCCTGAAGCCAGCACGTGGCATCTACCAGGCGGACTTGAATGCCGATGGCGTTTATAAGCAGAAACTGCAATTCAAAGTGCTTGGACGTGTTAAGGTACAAACTCTGGAGTTGGGTATCGCCGAATCAGATGCGAGCGCAGCTACACGGAAGCAGATCGTCAGCTTTCCCAACAAGCTGAAGGACACACTCTCGGCTGACAGCACACAAAAGCTGCTGCTTAAAGCACTATTGGTCGATGAGAGCAACAACAAACCTATCTCAGTGCATCAGGCTTTTGTACGTTTGTATAACCAGGAAACGGACAAAGAAATCATATTCGTTGCGGAGCAGGACAGCAGCAAGGCCTACAAATTTGATATGGATGTGGGCAATCAGGGCAAGAATTTCAATTACCAAAACGGCTTGTACAACATTTATCTAACTATCGGCGATGCCTCGCTGTCCAACTCCTTCGAGTGGCTGTTGGCTGATGTTCAGCTGAAATTTAACCAGCCAGACAGAGGTAAGCGTAGCCGCCTGCATAATTCGTTCCCGATATTAAATGCAATAACATTTTACAGATATCAAGCCCAGCTTTGTGAGGGGACCTCTGCCAGAGATTGTGCATCAATTCCGCGTGCCCGATAAGCGCCCGCCCCGCATTGTATCGGATATATTCACCGGCCTGTGCATAACGCCGCTAGTGCTGCTCTTTGTGTTTTGGGCCAAGTTGGGCATTAATGTGTCCAACTTTACATTGGCACCCAGCACCATCGGTTTCCATTTGGGCTTTGGTGGCATTTTGGCGCTGTTCTTCGTTTTCTGGCTGCAACTCAACATGTTCCAAACACTGCGCCTGCTAATACCAATCGCAGTATTCACATTCCTCTGCGGCAATCGCCTGTTGCGACGTCTCTATGCACAACGCAACGCCAAGAATCCAGCTGGTGCTTCATAAGCGATACAACCGAAGGCTTTATGGCTGTGCTCTGTTCAGCATTCGATTGGCCGCCATCGACAGCTGCTAGTTAAAAAAAAAAACAGGAGTTACAGTCACACTCTATCTAAAAACTATAATTAAAACCCATCTTTAATAAAGCGTTTAGTGTAAGCTCTATTAAAACACAAAACTTGGACTACGTATAATAGGCTACGTGCTTGGGCTATATCAAGCCAAGGACTGTGGAGGATTCGCTTGGATCGATTTACAGAAGTCTCGATGAATATCTAAGGATTACGGAACTTTGAGCACTATCGAAATAGATCAATCCAGATATTAATAAAAACAAAAGGGCTTCGAGTACCAAACACAACTTCAGCAAACAATTCTACACAAAATAATATAAAATTAACGAATAAGCTTTAATGATATATACAAATACGGCGATATAACAGGCCTACAACAGTTAACGAAATACCCCTTAAAAAAAGTTAACGCTATTTTACAAATGAGCCTTCATGAAGGGCTTTAGGTATTTGTGGAACCCTGCGTTCACCGGCTCTTTGTTGAGCGGATTTTTCTTGGTTGACTCAAAGATATGCTCATACACATTGCCATCGTATGCACCCAACGCGGAGTCCAAAACGCGATCGTGCAAATCAAAGCTGTCGACCAGGGCAATAGCATTTGGACGCAAACGCTTCAGGCAGCTCTCCAGGCGCACCTCCAATTTGGTAACATCCGCATCAGTCAGCTCAATGAACTGCATACATCGTGGGTAAGTACAGAACAAATTAAATTTATATGATTGTATGTGCTTACGCGTAAAAAGTCGCCAATGCGATTAAGGCAGGCATCGACTAGGTAGAGCTCCAGCACCACCATCAGCACATCGGCCAGGGCTGGCGAAACTTGTCGCGAAACAGCCATCAGCTCCGTGTACGCGGATTGCGCCAAAAATGCGCGACCGTGCAGCTAAAAGTATAGCATGGTTTAGTATATAACTCATTTAGGCCCTAGTTCCTGCTTACGTCTGCAGCGCCTGTCAAGAAGACGCCACTGAGATTAGCGGCCACCTCGGTGCTGTGGCCTTGTCGGCGGCGCTGCTCGATCTGCTCATAAGCGACGCGTACTTTGCTATATGGGAATACATTTTAGATTTCACTTAAATATCGTAAATACTTTAACACACTCACTTGGCGGCCACAAACTGGAATGCCTTTACAATTGACTCCAAGGAGCCATCGAAATAGACGAACTCTTTCTGCTTGATCGCCTCGTTGATGTAGGCCACAGTGGGCACCAGTTGATCACCGCTCAGCGCCTGGCCGTACACCTTCACCAAATAACGTGCCGTCTGCAGCAGCATTACCGTGTTCTCGCCCTCGTAGGTGCACACAGCCGTCGTCATGCCATAGATGGTCGGAAAGTTAGAACAGTCCATATAGCCATGGCCGCCGCAAGACAGACGACAGGTCTCCACGCCAGCTGCTGCATCCGCGCTGCAAATGGCCTTCAAGCAACAGGAGAGTGCATGCATTTCGGGCAAACGATCCAAGTTGCCCAGCTCAATTTCACCGGACAGCACATTGTACATGTTCCAAATACCATCACCGGTTGTCTTAAATACAATAGCCTTGGCTATCTGCGGGAATAGCTTCAGTTGCTGTGTGGTATGTTCCATAATCTGCGGCTCTGGCTCCTTCGGATCAATGGGACTCTGTCTTCGAACTGCCGCATATCGTGTTGCAATAGTGGACGCCTTGGCCAAACTCTGAGCAGTATCCCTAATGAGTGCACATCGGACAAACATCATGGTGCCATAGGTTAGGACACTATTCTTGGGCGCCACATAGGTGCCGTCGGGCAGAACCTGTTGGTTCTTCATCAGCATATTGTTGAGCGGCACGCGCACATTCTTCAGCCCCAGATAACCATTATTGACGCCCTTCATGCCCAGCTTGGTGCCAATGTCGCCAATATCTATGCCTGGCATTGGCATATGCGTATCTGTGTCCCTCAGCTGCACAATAAAAGGCGCCAGACCACGGAACTCGCCCTTGGTGTACAGCTGGGCCACGACAACAGCATGGTTCGCCGTATGTCCCACTGTGGATGATATTTTAGTGTCGTGTAGTATGATCTAACCCGCGTTTAAGTACTTACAGCCGCCGGGCCACCACTTGTAGGCACTTAGTGAGGGCGTGTTAATCACAAACTCCTTTGTGCTGGCATCGTAATCGGCGCGCGTTTCCAAACCACGCAAAAAAGTGCCGTGTCCCAGTTCAGTTTGCGCGTAGGTGCCAATTATTTCACAATCCCAGGCCTTGGATAGCCACTCCACCTGCTGTTCCATGGTGCCCTGTTAAACATATATTGGATTATTAAAATGATAAGCTAAATGAAACCAAGGTGAATCTTACCTGACCCATAATAGTTGGCACAAACATGATGTAGTGCAGCGATATAGGATTGCCCTCCTTGAGTATAGCCGCGCCCAATGAGCCGCCCAGCAGAGCACTGTCACAAGGGGATAAAATATTAGTTAAATGCAGTCCGGACTAATTGCAATCCTTACTTGTATGTGTCGACGCCATCCTCGCCATCAGCGCGCAGTTTGCGTATCTTTTCGCCAATGAGGCAGGCTTTGCGTAAGCTGTTCTCGTACAGCTCCTTGTGGGACAAATATGACGTAGGCAGATCATCTTTCATTTCTGGATCCTCCAGAAACATTTTCTCTGCAATTGCATCAACAGTAAAGTGTAAAGTGCATGACACGTAAGCGCATTTGCCCAATATCTATCTATCAATCATGCCGGACTACTGTGCTTCTATTATTAATTCAAGTGATTAAGCCAAATCGGCTAGATAAAGCTTATCAACCCCATACCGAAGATTTATAACATTTTCAAGTGCTGCTAAGCTATGGGAAATATGTGACTTAAATAGTGCAATCAAAGTCTACAGTTCATAACCAGTTGTTCGAGGGAGATGCTGTTACTTGTACAAAGTTCATCATTTATAAATTTGTAAGCTACGATCATAAAATGTCGCATTTGACATGAGCTAACGATTAATGCGTAAAATTTGCATTAGCTGTGCGGCTAAATACCGTCGCGAACTAATGAATGGAAAACTATGGAAGATACAAATCAAAACAAAGACGCCGAGAGGGCCGGCCATGGGTTGCCAGAAAACTTACACATTGTCAAGACTTGCCAGACATGAAGAATGTATCAAGCACAGTTATTTATATTGAGCACAGTTCAAAAGTTTAAATGTTTATGGCCATTTTTGCATAAGCGTAGCTCGCCTATCTTATAAGGGTATTTGCCGTGTCATGCTACTGCTGCAATTAATTGCTGCCAATTGCGAAATGCGGTTGAGTACGCTTGAGCGTGTAGCTCTCAAAGTCTAGCTTAAAAACCAGTTAATTTAATTAAAAGAGTAAAAATGCTGAGTACACGAATTGGAGAGTCGACTTACCCAAGGCCTTCTTCTCTTTGTATTTGTCTGCGCCACCAGCCCAAAAGATTGAAAACTCTTTTGGATCAAAGGTCGCTGTGTTGCGCTCCTTTTGCAAATCAGGATTTACTTCCAGTGCTGGCATTTTGATTAAATTGCTTCAAAAACGGGCTCTCAGTCGAGTTTTTTTCTTTAACACAAATAAAACTTTCACGTGCGTCTGCTACGACGAGCGAGTACTAACTAAATTTAGCATGGAGAAACAACTGTATGTGTTGTACTTGCTTTGAGCGCCGTTAATGCATATGTATGTTTGTGCAAATCTTATCTGCTAAGCACAGTGAACTTTAATCGTGTGGTTGGGAATTGAAATACACTTGTACCCAGCTTCTAGTGGGATTATTTGTGATAATTGCCTTCAATCAATCTTTTGTTGTTGCGCCATATGAGCGCATACGCTAATCTATTGTTGATACTTCTTCCGTTGTTGTTGTTGTTGGGCTCTTTGTTTGTGTGCTGCAAGCAGCTGTGCGCCAGGGCTGCGTGATGGTGAGTTGCGCGAATAGAGTTGCCAGACGGTTGGCTATTAAATTTGAATACAAAATGCTTACGTTTTTCTGTTACGTTGCTTTCGCTTATGTTTATTGGCTAAGTAATATTGTTAAAGTTAAACATAATACTAGTCTTTGGCTTAGTAAATTACATAACATACAGTGCGATACAATGACGAATAGATTAAAATCACGTTTTTAATACGGTTTCAGTTAGAACGAAAGTTAAAGTAAATGCAAGATCTGCACCCCACTAGAGGCTGTGCGCCTGACTAGTTGATATTGTAATGCTACGCTGATGCTGTCCCAGACCAGCCGATTCATAGGCACAACATCCATTGGCAGCACGTGTCTGCTCCAATTGCAAGCCCATATCCGTTGGATACCAATGTGCATCCTGCAGCTGTGTATAGTTAACATCGGTTGCCATATGAGACTCTTGTCGTAGCGTCTTCGGATAGGATTGCGTTTGAGAACTTTGCCAATCCATGCGCGCCGAAGCGAATGTCAGGTTGGAATTGCTGTTGCGGTTGTGGCCATGTTGCAAATGTTGATGAAACTCAAAGGGCCAGCTCTGTGAAATTAATAAGCGAATATGAATATGTAATACTCGGCTAAGACCTGATGCTGATGAAAGCCCATTTCGATAGAGAATTGTTGCAAGGCAATGCTGAGATTAGGGCTAACCGCACAGCTGTAAATGCAACAATATGACGACAAGCCGACAGCGACAGCGCCTTTGTTTGTTTATACAGTTTTGATTGTTTTTAGTGGCTCTTTGGGAAATGTGTTCATAGTTGAACAATAACAGCGTCATTAACGTATCTATAAAAACATATAAACAAGCCAAAGACAAGAGACACTCATCGGCAGCCCCGGCTAACCAATGGGTAATGGATTGCTCTCTCTCTCTCTCTCTCTCTCTCTCTCTCTGTCTCTCTCTCTCTATCTATCTATCTCTCTGTTCCCACCCAGCCCTCAAGTCTGTAGGCGGCGCGTGCGACCGAGATAAATTAGGGTGCCGCCGTGCGGCTGTTTAGGAAGCCGCGATATGGTCCTGACAAATGCAAACAAAACACGGCCAACATATGGGCACAAGACGCCGTCGAAGCACAATATTTGCTGAACATTTTCACGCATTCAACTTCAGTGAATGAATAAACAAATTGCCTATAAACGGATTGCTAGAGTATTTGTGAAACTTTTCTTCTTTTATTTCTTTGGGTAATTCCTCGGTGCAGGCAGATCGTAGAGAAATACCCAATTATAATACGGATGGTTTTAATATCATATTAAAAATGGATAAAAAAAAAGGAGACATTATATAAAAAGAGGGCGTTTTTATCACATAAAGAGTATTTCGTGGATCAGCTAAAAATGGATGAGTCCATTTTAACCCTTTTAGCTAGAGACTCAAAAATGTTTGTAGATCAAACGTAGTTTTTTAAATAATTTTGATTAGACTTTTCCAAATTGACATCGTTTCTTTCCTCTTTAAAGTTGAGAAAATAGATCGTCTAGTGATCATGGACCCCGATAATGGGGGAAGACAAGTTATACATATATGTTCGATTTTCTTTAACTTATTTTATTTTCCCCATAGATAAAATTCCTAACACATTCATATTACCGAGCTAATTGTTTCATTATTGCCTTTTATACATTCTAACGTGTACCTCAAACATTTTTTTTTTGCAAGAAAGAGACCCAAAAAGTTACTTAACCTTTGTGTAAGTTTATCATATTGCCCAAACGGGTAGACGATATCTTCCAGTCGAACGCTTCAGATTAGAGAATTTGGACTTGTTTTATTGAATACCACTTAATATCTGGCGCAGAGTCAGCTGCGACAATTTTCCCTTGCATGTCATTCACTTTGGTCGCTTCAAAGTCGTGCATCTTTTTAAAAATAACAAGAAGAAATACTTGCGAGGAATAACCAATGTTCCTAGCCCGACGGCCCGACGGCTCGACGCGACGAACGGAGATGTCTCCGTGTGAGTCTGTCACTCATATTTAGTATTTTTGAAATTCACAAAAGTATCTGATTACAGGAAAGCCAGACACAAACTGAAATCACAAAATGTGATTTTTGTCTGTTTGTTGTTGCTGTTGTACTCAAAATTGGGGCGGACGGGGGCCTACACCTTTGGTAGGTATAGAAGCACTTGAGCAGATGTTGCCCAACATACTACTTATAGGAAAATATGTGATTTTGGACGGTTTTCTATTTGCGTTTGCTAACTAAAGAGCAGAAAGTAGACTGTTATAATTATTATAAGCCCGAATTTTGATTAACCGAAAAATATTTTATATTAATGAAAGCTAATGCCAAAAATATGTCGAAAGATTCGACAAGGAATAACTAGAGAATGGAGAATGAAACCTTTTTAGCTCTGAGGAATAGCTTGATAGTCGGGTGAAAGAGGGATTTCTACTAAGAAAATATAGATATTTTTGTATTTAATTTTATTTCAATTGGGTTAATTGCGATATGTTGCACGTCTGACATGATAGAGAATATTTCGTATTTATGAAAATTATTGTCAAAGATATGTCGAAGGATGAAAACTTTTTACCTCTGAGAAATAGCTTGATTATCGGGTGAAGGAAGATTTCTGCTAAAACATGATCTATAGATATTTTTTTTTGTATTTAATGATATTTTAATTGGGTTAATTGCGAGATCTGTCGCACGTCTGACAAAAAACTGGACAAGTTTGAGCCTATCAACGCCGCCTATCATAGCTGAGCTGACACCTGTCACGACTTGACGCAGTCCAGCTGCAAGCACGAGCAGCTATATATGTTCCATATATGTTGTATATATGTATATATATATATGGTATATATCCCATTCACTTTTGTTGCAACGCTAAGTGGTGCCACTGACATCACTTATACGCACCATAGACACAGGCACAGACAGAGTTTCTGCAGTTGACACTTACCATGCCGAGTTGTCCAGCATTGTGGAAATTGAAAGTTGTCGTCGCTGCTGCGGCGTCGTTGGTGCAATCCGTCGCTAGATTCCGCGTGTCCAGCGCAGCAGCTAGGGCGGCGCCGGATTGCGTTGGATTGGCATTGGCTGTGCCGTTGCCCGTCTCGACGGCATTGATTAGCTGCTTGATGTAGAGCGTGGCCAGGCGCAGTGTGTCCAGCTTGGATAGCTTTGTGTCCGGCGGAATGTTGGGCAATTTGGTCTTCAGACGCCCATAGGCGCTGGATAGCACCCGCATGCGCATTCGCTCCCTGGCATTTGCCGCATTCCGTTGCACCGGCGGCTGGGAACCTAATAGATTTGTTGTTGTTGTGGATTAGCCATGGGAGCAAGGATGGCCTAGGGTTAGCCCCACTGGTGCTTACTGTGTGAGCTGGCATCCTCGTCAAAGTCATCGTCGTACAGATCTAGGGGACTGGAGGCGCGCTTTTTGCGTGGCATTGGGCAAGCTCTTTTTTATATTTTTTTCTATAAACTAATTTCTTAGAGCACTTGCACTGCTGGGGGGGAGGGAATACCTCTAACACAATTTAAAATATTATAACTTTTTAAAATTCGTTAAAGTTCTGAAGTTTTCTGAAGATCGAACCGTCTATGACCGTGTCGCAGTACATTTGAAACACATCTGAATATTCTGCTCGGAAAATCTTCCTTTTTACACACATTCTTCTCACTCTCCCTCTCCCTCTCCCTCGGCGATCTCTGTCGCCGTCTCTTGCTCTCGCAATGTTGCCTATTTTTGGCACTTGTAGGCGTGCCCCCGCTCCGTAATAGTCCGTTGAGGCAGCTACAATTGGTGGAAGCGGCAACACATGGTGCGATCCGTATTATCTCTGGGCCTCGGGGCCGCCATGAGATTGGTCCAGCTGGTGGCTGCTGCCGTTTCCTTGTTTACGCTAGCCAAAATGAATCAATTTGTATATTTATCGGGCATGTATTATATTTGGTCTGCATACACAAGATCCTAACGAAATTTGTAAGGATGCCAGAAGTGCGCGCAAAGCGTGCTAGCAACCAGCTGTAACCACCTGGATCCCAAATTTGATATCGTTGCCTAATCCACAGGAATCAGTCTGGCGCTTGATCCGGATACAAGGCCGACAGCACACGCGACATTCTTATTATGAGAAATCAATATCATCGTGATCCACTTGAAAGTTTAATTATTATTATTATTTGAAGAATATTATGTACACTTGGATAAAAGCTGTAGATGAGCTGCCTGAGGGATCAATTCATTTCAGGAAACAGGGAAAAACCTAATCCCAGGCTAGTGTATGTAAAGTGCATGTAGAATGTAGGCTAATAGTTTAGAGAGAATTATAATTTTGTCAAGAAGGATATAACGCATATATATTCCAAATCAATCATCAACAGCCGAGTGGATAAAACAAGTTCAGCTTCCTAGTTCATACGGTTTGGGCTGTGCTTTGATCAACAATCAACTCAGTCAGAACACTGTTATATATAGAGATATAGTAATTCATCTAACATATATCCTATCAATATATTATAAAGGTCTTTTGGAAGAATGGGTCTAAATAATATTGAATATTTTATTCATCCAATACTCTGTTCCGTGAATTATATTTATACATACTTCAGGGTATTGCTTAAGTTCGGCTAAGACATATGCAATTTTTTATATGATATCAGTTTTCGCACATTTTCTGGCCTTATGTTATACCTTCCAAATTGCCCCAATTAATTATTCTTGCTGAACTTTTAATAATGAAGATTTACTGCAAATTTGAATCGGTTTGTAAAACACCTTAAGCATGAGCTCAAAATGGATCGATTCTTAGAGAATATTATTTTCGTAGCCATTTTCCAAACTGAACATTTTTACAACTCCATATTATTGCTAATTGATCTATAAAGGACAACTATTATGAATAATTTAACTCATAAGCTTCAACATGACATTAATCACCGATTAATACAGTCGTATATATAGAGATTACCTAGTCAAACCACTAAATGTGACTTTGAAGGCGTCACCACAATTATGGCACAAGTAATAGCGCACACAACGCCTGGCTAAATAGCGGAAGTATGGATTTGGAGCTGGCATGGGCGGATGTTAAGCTGTGGCGCAACACGAGGAGTGTGTGCAGCTGGAAGACCCAACAACCTGGCAGATGAGATGGGGTCATACGCCAAGGTGACCTACATACCACGGGTGGAAAACAGAGATTGGTGCCGATTACAAAAAGGTTCAATGAGGAGCTATGAAAACCTCACACATTTGCAAGTGTTCCAAGGATACAAAACATATATATATATATATATATATATATACGGGCTACCATGAATTGGATACCCCCAAAGGCCGTAATTAAAACTCAGCTGAACTCTTCCTAGAAAATTGATACTACTTGCCCAACCGGTGAAAGGTAGATCCCTCTATCTCTTCCTCTCTCCTTCTCTCCCTTTCTCACTCTCTCTTTGGCTGTGAGCGGGTGCAGACCGCTTCAAGTGCCTGGAGAAAGCCATAAATTATGCTGCATTCGGTTCAATTGTTCGGAGAAAGGAGCCCTAGTCTGTCTGCCTGACTGTCTGCGGTTAACAGTTCAATTAATTTTGTTGAGCAACTATTATGACATAATGGGTGAGGTTCTGCGAAGCATTCTTCAAACTTCTCGTAATACAATATGAGGCGAGCATCCAGCAGACAGGCTGTCGCCGTGCCTTCAGAGTCTGGGATGGAAAAGTATCGAATGGGAAGGAGTTAGTGCCCATTTTTATGCGTTGGTTGCTTAAATAGAGAGAAAAAAGCTTAAATAGAGAGTACGATACTCGAGCTGGTGCTGCTCCTGCAAAAAATCTGCCTTCCGTTCAACTCCAGCCCATTGATTCAGCTCTGCTGTAAAGGCATATTTTCCAAAAGATCTTAAATAGTCCTTAAATACTTATAGACGGGTTTGTAAGTACACTGTTTTTTATTTATGGATATAAAATACTGTAAGCTTAAATAGTTGGGCCAAGCTACGCTCTAGGCCGCATTGACTTGGCTTTGTGTGGTGTCAATGGTTACAGTCGATGCCGTGTTGGATGGATCGAAGTGGGAAGCGACCAGCTCTTCCAGCTCGTAATCAAATTTGAATATGGAACGCATATCACTCTTGAGCCGGCACACGACACCAGCGGAACCAATATTCCAGTTCCAACAGATCAGATCACAGTTCAATGCCTTAATATCGCCTTGTAGCGATATTATATTCTACAGAGCACGATTGAGGCTTTAGTTAGTTTAAAGACTAAATAGCTCTTTTTATGCCTACCATAGCCACTGTATAATCAATGGAATTAATCTCCTGGCCCTTGATCACAACTAAAAGTATTTTGCAGTCCTGCTGATTCAGATAAGCCACAACCTTTTCCTTTAGATACTCCGCAGAGGCATAGTCCAGCTTCTGCTTGACATCGACCAGGGCAACTTCATAGCCATTAATCTAAGGGGAACAAAGTATATAAATTAAATATATATTAATAGAGAACGAACTCGGGTTTCCTTACCTTCTCAAGCGTAATGAGAACCTGCGGTCGAGCGCTGCTATAAAGTATATAGATGAGATTGGCCACAATGCCACAGACTATGCCGTATTCCAGGCTCCAGAACAGGCAGGTCACAATTGTCACCACGAAGGGAAAGAGATCGCGCTCTATAGAATATATAAAAGCCATTGACATGGGCATATGCAATTCTTATTTTCGCTGCACTCACTCTTTGCATTCCACATTTCGGAGATTCTCTCCAGCTCGACTAGAGATATCATAGCTGCTATTATGAGAGCTGCCAGCGTCGATTTCGGTATATAGTAGAAGGTTTGCGTGAGAAAGGCCAGGGCCATCAACACGAGCGCTCCAGTTACGGCTCCTCCGAGGGGCGTTCTCACCCCGCTCGCATTGTTGACGGCCGTGCGCGTAAAGGAACCAGTCACCGGCATGGAGAGCACAAAGCTACCCATTATATTGCACATGCCCAGGGCAATCATCTCCTGCGAGGCATCCACAATTTTTCCCTTGGCTGAAAGCATGGCATAAAGTAAAGCCGAGCTGGAATCCGCTGGAGCTGGAATCACTTACAGAACGCCTTGGATATGGCCACGATCTCCAGTATGGCGATCATTGGAATGGATGCCAAGGAAGCGCCCACAGTGCTTATCATGTCGCCAAAGGACACGTACTCCCCATCGACGACTGTGCTGAAGGGTGGCAAGCGGAAGGGTGGCAGGCCCGCGGTTATGTTGCCCGTCACCCGGAATGGCTGATTGCCATCTCTACTAAGTATATATGCCAGGAATGTCCCGAATATGACGGCCAATGCATTGCGCGACAGCGAGAGATACTTCCAGACCAGCCTGTGGCCCCATTTGATCTTTGTCAATTGCTGCAATAAAGGAATTTACTAGGTTTGTCATAGGAATTCTTACTAGGACAAGGATTACCTTCATGAGCAGCAGAAAGACCAAAGTCAGAACACCCAGCAAGGCGTCCCAGATTCGTATCGAGGTTAGATTCATAAAGAAATGCTGCCACGAGGGCAACAAATCGTTCGAGGGTCCTGTGAAGTAAATGCTCTTGGATTACTATGATGTCTGAAGTATATTTAACTGGGCTATATCATATTATTGGGAAGCTAAACTTCCTTTCCGTCAATTCAAAAGTGGCTATGCTATATAGTCCAGATATAAGGCTGACTTTCTACCTTGACTTAGGCAAAATATCTTTTAAGTCTCCCCACGGTATTTTAAGACCCTTAGCCAGACTATTATGCAATTAGCGCTATAATCTCTATTTGCTCATTAATTTTGGGTAAATGAGCCTTCTTACCCTGTTAAGGGCGAAAAGAAATAACTAAAACAAACATAATTCACTTGGGGTAGATAAGAAGCACAGACCTCATTAGACAGTTCCCGTTCCAGTTCCCTGATCCGGTCCCTAAAAAACGACCTGCTCCAAAGTTCTTATCTCTGTCTCCGGATATTTTTAGGTTTATTAGACGATACTATTAAATATAATAACCAGATTCTATTGCTGGGAGCAAGCTGACGATTATAAATCAGTCCTCGGAAAATATCTGACCCAATAAATCAGACAACAGAACGAGGAGGAACTAAGTCCCAGGCTTATCTATGGACGGGATATTATCCTGGCCAAAGGCCAATAATATTTAATAATAATAATAATAAAAAAAAGATTAAATAATTCACAATCCTTAATAATAAATGTAATAAAAAAATAAATAAAATTAGAAATAATGAATGTAAATCATTTTAATAAAGTGAGCCCAAATATTCTGTGATATCAAAGGACATGATACACTTGATACCTATGCAAATTTATAAACATCATTATTATTATAACAAGTAAGAGGTTCTAGTCGGGAGCTCCCGACTAGGGGATACCCTGAACCCTCTTCTTCCAGCATCAAATGCATATATACATTCTATTTTAGAAGCTATATGTCAAGTTTGGTGACTCTAGCTCTTATTATTTACCAAAATTGCCCAAACAACAGGATATCTATATCGATTTTTATCGATTGCTTGGAAACGGAGTAAGTTATCGATTATCGGAAGCAAACTCGATCTGCGCGGGAACTAGGAGCATTTACATCTAAAATTTCAAGTCTCTAGCTCGTATAGGCTCTGAGATCCTTGCGTTCATACATACGGACGGACGGACGGACGGACAGACAGACGGACATGACTAGATCGACTCGTCTATTGATGCTGATCAAGAATATATATACTTTATGGGTCGGAGAAGCTTCCTTCTGCCTGTTACATACATTTGGATTTTGCACAAATACAATATACCCTTATACCCATTTTTAATGGGTTCAGGGTATAAAAATTACTTGCGTTGGAGAAACCCCTGCTGATAGGCGATAAGAAATGGAAAAATTTTTCGAACTTACCCTTGAGGCCGACGAGATTATTGATCTGAGCACTTCCAATTGTTGTGGCCGCTGCCATCGTAAAGCCAGTTATGACCGGAATCGATATGAAGCGCACCAGCACGCCCATATTGAGCAGGCCCAGGATCAGAATGATAGAACCGGCCAGGAAACAGACAAGCACCGCATAATCCGGGCTAATTGTCGCATATTGGTTGACCATCAGCGCCATGATCGCAGTTGTGGCTGTGGAAGCGAAGCCAATTAGAAGTCGATTAAAGATCTATCTGTGCCGACTTACCGATGGTCACGTCCTTGCAGGAGCCGAACACAATGTACGTAAAACAGCCCATAAAGGCCGAATAGAGACCATATTGTGGCTCCAGTCCAGCCACAACTCCGTACGCAATGGCCTGCGGTATAGTTGTAAGTCCGACCGTAAAGCCGGCTATAAAATCCTGCACCACATACCCGGAGCGATAACGCGGCAGCCAGCTTAGTATCGGAAATTTGTTGGTGATTGTCGCCGGGCGACAGAACTTTCGTCCACTCTCTCTGATAAGCGTGCCCACATCGGGCAACTGCTCCCGGTAAAGATTCTCTGCAAGTACCCCGACCGGAATCACAAATCCATTAGAGCTAATAACATATTTATGACGCTGCGACGTGCATTGGCGATGGGTCTCTTTCGAAATCAAATCATAAATCCGAACCGATTCGAATATGCCGCCTGCCGCCTAGTAGCAACGGACTCGGACAACATATTATTGGGGGCCACGAATAGCCCAGAGATAAGCTCGATTTTATATGAACTTGTTTGTTTAATAAGGCACGTACAAAATTATCTTGTAAAAATATGTGCTGAATGAACCAGTGAAATCATTAATAGTCGCATTCGAAAGTGGGTTTATTATTATTATTATAAATTACAAACAATTATCTTATGTTATCCCTGTACAACCCACAAATTCCAAACAATAACTCCGGTAACCTGTATATAAAATTATATAATATATATGCTGGAATATAAAGTTAGGCTCGCGCCAGAAACAAATTTCTGCTGCATTTAATTATATGTATTTTTGAGCTTTAAAAAAAAATAGCTCCAGAGCTCGAATATTTGGAAATTGAAATTTCTTCGCATCGATCAATTGAATATCGGCTTTTGTTATTCAATTTAAAATGAAGAGATCTTAAATTGAACGCCATTCGCTTTCTAACCGGCATGGGAAAACCCAACCAATGTCCGATGAGAGGGGGATTTCCGTCTCCCCTCCCGCCAATTGTCCACAAAACCAAATGCAATACGAACGCAAACTCACCTTCATTTTCGTTGGCTCTCATAACTTTGCTAGCTCAACGATTCTTCTAGTTTGTTTTTTACCTAATTGTTTTTTTTTTTATTATTTTTATATATAGTTATTTTTGTTTATTTTATTTTGTTTAAGTATCGCGTTCCGCGTTAAATTACAATAACGAGGCGAGCGTTCGCTCAGTGCGACGCTCCAGACTTGAATGACGCTCTAATCGCTTGGCGGACCGATTGGGCCCAGACTGAGTGCACACACACACACACTCGTACACACACCCGTACACACAGTAGTGTGCGTGTGTGTTATGCCATACATGATTTGTGATTCTGATTATCATATTATCTTGTATTACTACAATTGTTACGACTTCAGCGATAAGAATACCAATGCAAAGTTGGCTTAAAGACAATTGCAATTAAGTGCTAATTAAATACAAATTAATTATTTATTTAATTCGATTACGGTCTCGCTGCTCTGCCAGATCCGGAGATTCTCAGAGTTCTGCAGTGCGCCCGTTGCGATCAGATTCAATTTGGGATGGCAATCCGTGCAAATGATCTCGTGCGCATGTGCATTTAGTTTCTGGACGAGCTCCTTGCTCTGCAGACTCCATATATAGAGGCAACTGTCCTCGCTGCCCGACACGATCCACATGCCAGCCGTAACGGAAAATTTGACGGCAATGCAATACTTGAAGTTCGTGTGGCCTCTGTAGATGCGCAAACATTTAGGCTTCTGAAAGTTCCACAGCTTTATCTGGCTGTTCAGATAGGCGGCGAGTATATATCTGCCGTTTGGCGCAAACTTTACATAGCCCACCGGTGAATTATCTTCATCGATAAGCGTCTTCAGCACCTGGCCGCTGATGGTGTCCCAAATGCGCACAAGGCCATCAAAGCTGCCGGTGACAAAGAGTGTGCCATCACGATTGAAGTCCACGGACGAAATGGGATCCATGTGGGCGGGTATAATTTTTAGAGATTTGCCGTTGCGCACATCCCAAAGCCGCACGGTGCAGTCAAAACTGGTGGACGCTATTAGATTCGCTTGCGGATTGATGCTGCAGGCAAACACATAGCCAGCATGACCCTCCATTGTCCGCAGGCACAGGCCACCGTGCGGATCCCAGAGCCTTATGGTCTTATCATCGCTGCAGCTGGCCATGAATTTGCCATCCGGCGACCAGGCCACATCGTTTATGCCCAGTACATGTCCAGCCAGTGTTTTGTTCAGCTGAGCCGTGCCCAAGTCCCACAACTTGAGTAAACTATCTGCCGATGCACTGGTCAGCCAGTCGCCACCAGGAGCAAATCGCACGGCGGTAATGTGCCGCTGGTGACCCTCCAGCGTGTACTTGAGCTCATAGCCAGGCGACACGGCCTCAATCTTATTATTTACTATGGATTTATCCTCGCTGTTGGCTTCCTTAAATGGCAGCGGCATCTTGAAAAGTTGCTCCACACTGTTGGCAGCCATGTCGCTGCCTCCGAACAATGTGTTCGGCAGTTCCGCAGGATCTGCATAGACCAGCTCCATGGTCAATATATCGTCTGGCGTTGACATCGCGAAATCAATATTAGCCTACAATTAGAATATAAATTTTTAGTACAAATCAAGTTTGAACAAGTTTACGGCTTTAGAAACTGGGCAATGACAGGTCCAATCGACAGGCTGTTGCAAATTTTCAGAAACCAGGGCTGCATTTTGGGCGCCTTCTAACTGAATTTCAAACAGCGGGAGGGCAACACTTAACGAGCATATTGCTATTAGATGAAAGCATGCCCTGTAAAGGTATCTTTTTTTTTTTAATTTTATTTAGTTGAAATCTCACAATCCATTTTTATTTTTCATTTATAAAAAAGAAATTATTTGTTTACCGGAGGAAACTTTCTTATATCAATTATTTGCATAGCTTCTATAAATTTTTAATAGCTGCTGTTTATAAAAGATCATTTATGTGATATAAAAAAAACATAAAAAGGCACAATAAATACAGCTGGCCACAGCTTGTGTCCCCTCTAAATTCTACAATTTTATAATTTAAGCTTATTTAAATGCACACAAAGAAAATGCAGATCTGTCTATAATATACATATTGATGCATATTACAGGGTATTTAGTATGCAATCATTTGAATCTAGGCAGCCGCGAAACATCAATCATATAAGAAATGCCGTGCTATGCAAACATGTAATTATTTTGTTGCCTGCGACAATTGAGGCGTCATATTTATACAACCTGTTGGTAGTACCAGGCCAGACATGTTAATCAAGCATTAAACAAGCCTATTGACAAGAAGCTATGCACCCAATCTGAAGATGTGCGTGCGCTGCGACATAAACAGAAGTCAGTGAACTTCAATTGTTGTGTTCAATTGTTGTTCATTGTTTATATAAATAAAATGAGTTGATAATGTGAACAATGCTTCTAAAAAATGCAACTTATCATATGCTTAAGACTATTTGACTTTGAAAAATGATGCAATGCTTTTGCTGCCCTTGGCGCCTTTGGCCAGCGCCTTCTCCTTGGCCGTCATGGTGCGCTCCTTAAGCGGCGCAGGAGTGCTGGGCGACGTGATGCTCTCCTTTATATCATCGCTGTCGATCAGGCTGCTGTTGGGCAGCTGTGCAGCAGCATCATCGCCATTGGCGAGCTTAATTTTTTTGCTATTTGCACTGGTTTGTCCTTGCTGGGATTTGCGTTTCTGGGACGTGGCATTTTCTTCGACTAGTGCCTGAATCTCACTTGGTATGTGCAGATAGTTTGTGAGTTCTGCATGTAAATCCGCATCCAAATATCTGCCCACATAATCGCAGGCCATGCGCATGTAGTCCATTTCGTTGACATCGTTTTCTTCCACCAACTTTTCGCTGCGCACGTAGTTTTGCGATTTGGCACCCAATCCACAGTGCACCCGTTTCGCCTTGAGCACGGACACAACTTGTCGAGTCTTCAAGGCAAGCCATGCCAGCGCCCGCTGACTATTGTACTTGTAGAAGATCAGGTCGCCGGAGGTCTTCACATCTGCCACACACTTCAAGCCGTCGCTGCTCACTAACTTGGTAAGCAGACGATTTGTGCTGGCATCCGGTTCATCCACACATATGCTATCCAGCGACATTGCGCGCTGGGAGCAATGCTTGCGTAGATGATGAAGTGCCAGTAGCGTGGCGTCTATTGGCGTCGTCATGTATGTGCGTCCGTTGGAGCTCACTTCACTGTTTATTAACCAGCTGCGTCGCGGTTCTGCGTACTCTAGCACCTCCATTATCTCCCGCTCCTGAAGCGTCACAAACAAAGCCGGTCGCGCCTTACCGGGATGATAGAAGCGCTCCAAGCGCAATCGATGGTCGCATTCAGCATTGAGCAACTTTTCCGATATATAGAATACTTTCTTTATGGCACACGCTTTTTGTGGCACCGCATCTGGATCCGCCTTGGGTTTTATGGAGCGCGTTGCCTTTTTACTCATATCAGAAACTTATGAAAACAAGAGCTCCCGCCTTTATTAATGTTTTTGTTTTGCACACTTGTGCGAATGTTGCCACCTTGGTGCAATCAATCGATACTTTTGTCAGCATGTCATGTTATCGATAGGAATGCCACTTGCTGAATGGAGAAATATGATGTTATCATATGTCCGACCAGCTCTAGCTTCGAGATAGTTAGCAAAGCGAAAATAAGTTCAAAAAAGTTGGCAGCACGAAACAAAGCGTCTTTAAGTCGAACCGCCAAAAACTACAAGCAAATTAATTAAAAACATTAAAATATACCAGCCGTTGGTACCGTTGCGAAATAATGGAAAGGGATTTGGGGAATAAGCGCGAGATGCGCTCCTTTTTAATGCCACGCGATCCCAGTATTGATCGCCGTTTTCGACCTCGCCCCAACAAACAGCTACGCTTATTCGACGAGGCGATCCCCGAAAGCAGCGACAGCTCCACAGACTGCTCGGACACGGAATCGGACTACACGAAAAACAACGAGGAAGATGGCAGTTCGATAGACAACAGTGAGCTGGAGACGGGGCCACAGGTGTTCTTACGTCTGCGTCCAGTGGAATCTCCCTCCAAACTATATGGCATTTCCGACTGTGGCAATGTGTTGATCACCAGTGCCGCCGCGACCGAGAACAGCAGCAACAATGTGAATCGCATGGAGAAGCACTACAGCTTCACCACCATATTTGACAGTCTCGTTGGTCAGCGGGATGTATATGATAAATGTGTGGGCCCACGCATTTCGGAGGAGGAATGCGTTACGATCATGGCTTACGGAACATCCGGTTCTGGCAAAACCTACACGCTGCTTGGTACGTAATCGAAAAAAAAAAACTTAACTCTGAATCCACGTTTATGCAGTTTGCTACTCTAGGTGATAATGTTAGGGCCGGCGTTATACCGCGCGCCCTGGAAAACATATTCACCATGTACAATAAGCAGTTGTATACCACGCCCAAGCTTAAGCTGATCAATGCGCGCATGATAATCTTGGAGGACGATGTCACTATCAAGGAAATGCAAATACGTCGCCAATTGCTGGCACTGTGTCCAGATATGACGGCACAACACCAGCGCCTGCAACAAATCATCCGAGGCGATCATGAATTCGAGGAAAAGCCCGCCGAGGACGTTTCCGTCATGATTTGGGTGTCATTTGTCGAGATATACAATGAGCTTGTTTATGACTTGTTGACCGTGCCGCCGCGGCAGGCGAATATGTGCGAACCACGCCGGAAAAACCTAAAGATCGTCTGTAACCAGGGTCAAGTCTTCATCAAGGGTTTGACCAGCATATTTGTGAAAAGCAGCGACGAAGCCTTAAAATTGCTGCGACTGGGACAGCAACGGCTAACGTACGCTTCAACGGCTGTAAATTCCAACTCTAGTCGTTCCCACTGCGTCTTCACTGTGGATGTATTGAAGTACCATCGATCAGGCATGACCACACAGAACTCGTATAAATTCTGCGATCTGGCTGGCTCTGAGCGTGTGGACAAAACGGGCACGATCGGTTCACGTCTCAGGGAAGCGCAAAGCATCAACACCTCGCTGATGGTGCTGGGTCGTTGCCTGGATGCAGCAAATTCGTTAAAGAAAAAGAACAATACGGATGTAATACCATATCGGGATTCAAAGCTAACAATGCTTCTGCAAGCTGCTCTGCTGGGCAAAGAGCGTTTGGCCATGATTGTGACGGTGACGCCCCTGGATAAATACTACGAGGAGAATCTCAATGTACTGAGCTTTGCGTCCATTGCCAAGAATATATTGTTTAAACAGAGGCTGGTGAAGCAGCACAATACCCGCTACTCGGCATTTGTGGAGTACAGCCAGTCAGCGGAGACGCGAGATAAGCAATACATAGAAGAACTAGAAGCCCAGAATATTAGGTAAAGTAGATATGTCTTTTATTCGACATGGATTTAATGAAAGCTACAATAATTCAATTGCTAGCCTGCGTGCCGAGAACGATCGCTTGATCTACGATCATGTGCTGAAGATGCAGCTGCAAGAGGAGAAACTGCGCAAGGAGCTAACGGACACATTCCAGGAGACCATACAATCCAATCTGAAGCAGTGCGAGGAGCGGCATGAAAAAAAGATTCAAATGCTCAATCGCGAATTCGAGGCGAAGGTTTGTCAATGCTGCTCCACTATGCTCTTGGTTAATTCTGCAAATTTTTGTATTAATTTATAGATTGCTTCGCTTAAGCGTAAATATGAGGAGCAAATTGAAGACTTGAATGACGAAATCGAGGAGCTCAAATCGGCCAATAGCGATGTAGAAATAATCGACGAGGAATAATTTTTCTACGCACTTTAGTTTATGTTGTGTGTGTTATTTTCTACAAGAGTTTGTGCCCCATTTTTTTTGCTTTGCTGCGTTTTAAAAAATTTCTGTTCTGTTTTCCCAAGATTAATAATAATTAATTAAATGAAACATTTTCATCTCAATTTTAAACACTTTTTGCAAAAGCATTTTTATTCAAATTTGTCATATTTTACTGCGTTTACTTTTTCATTCTTGATTTTTTCATCATTTTTAATTTTTATATATCGTCTTGGTTTTTAATAAGTAGGTATTTTTCTTCTTTTTTTTTCATTTCTATATGTTTATAATTAGGAGTTTTTTGTTTTTTAATGGAATTACACATATATAAATATATGTATATATATATGCCTGCACTATGTGTGTGTGTGTGTATAGGGTGTGTGTGTTGTGTGTGGGGACTCAACGTGAGAGTCGCAGCCCAAAAAAAATTATATATTAAAAAAAAAACGTACATAAGTATTATTTATGTAATTAATTTCTCATTTAGCAAAATGTGCAAAATCGAGTATTTATTATAAATTTTGAATTCTGTTCATTTTTTAAGGATTTTGGTTTTTGTTTTGTTTTGTTTTTTTTTTTTCTTGTTCGAGTTTCGCCTTGTAAATATGCATTGTATCGTGTATAATTTTGCATTTTTGTTTAATTCGTACTGGCTAAAAATTTAGTACTATAAAAGGTTATATTTCAAGGTTTTACTTTTGTTTTACTCATACTATTAATATTTTTTCGGATTTTTGTTTTTATTTTTCTTTTCTTTTTAAGTTAAATTCTGCAAAAGCAATTAAGTTTCGGTTTTATTACAATTAATGATAAAATACACATATGTCGCATTTGCTTTGCAAACGAAAAGTTTCATATTTTTGTTTTGTTTTTGTACATTTTGCATTAAACATTTTTGCATATTTGTTTACTTCTTTTGTTTTTTTCTAAATTCATATTGCGTGTGTGTCTATGTGTGTGTACATTCTAATACTATCAATTTCCTGTAAATTATAATTTTTATTTATTTTCATTTTTCATTTTTAGCTCTACTTGGCTGACGAATTTTGTTAGCAGCGCTTTTAACTCGAAACGCAAAATGTAAATTAAATGTTAAATAATAAATTATTGTAAATGTGTATTCAATTATGCAATTCTTAAGGTTTCGCTTTTTATTTAATTACTAGATATTTCAATTGTTTTTTTTTTCTTCTTGCGTTTTGTTTTTTTTTTTTTGTTGTTGCCTGTTTTTTTTTTTAACTATACAAATTGTTCGTGTGTTTAGTCATTATTTTGGGGGGAGGTTTTTTGCTTTTTGAAACATGTTTAAAAATTAAGCTCAATAATCTTAAATTATTTATGTATTATTTGCCATTTTCCGGTTAATCATAAATGTGCTGAGCATGTTTACACGCTTGCCTTTCCCTTATTTTCCATTTCATTATTTGCAATATATATGTGTGTCTGAATATTTGTTTGTTTTTTGTTTCTTCTAAAAAATTGTAGACATTGCATTTGCGTTGCACATTTATTTATTTAGGCTTTTGCATTTTTGAAACTATATTCGTTATAGTATGGTTCGTGTTCTGTTGCCAGGTGTTAAATGTTGAAGTTAGCTACTTGAAACAATTTACAATAAATTACAAAAATGTTTTGTAATTGTTAAAAGTTTAATACTCTTTCCATGTAAACTGCAATTGCGCACAAGAGTTTCCCTCGTGCTATCATATTTTGTTAAGATTTCTCAAATTGTTTTGCGCTATTTTTTTTTTCTTTTTTTAAATTAGCATTAGTAAGGGGGTGTGTTTCGAGTGGGGGAAGGGTGTGTGTGTGTGTGTGAGTATTATAATAAACGCTTTTAAACTACAGCGTGTAATATATAATTTTTTTTTGTTTTTTTTTCATTGTTTTTTTTTTTGTTGCCTTTATATACGTAAAGTGGGTGCTTTATAGAATTTTACATCAATTGTGTGTACTTCTTTTTATTATTTGTAATTTTTTTTTTTTGTTTAATATAGTATGTGTAAATATTCATTATTTGCCCATGACTTGTTATGGTAGCTATATATTTGTTTTCGCCGCTCGCCTAGATTTCACTTGCTAATTGCGTGTTTTTTTTTTTTATTTTAATTTAGTAAGTATTATTAATGTATTAGAAGTATGCGTGTACGCACTCTGTTCTTGAAGCTAGAAGCTGATTTTCTTATCTTTTCTTTTGTTTTTTTTTTTTTAATTTTTTTTTTTTTTTTTAGCTTCTGTGCTCGGTAAATTCAACAAGAGACAAACATCTAATCGAAAAGAAGTTAAAGAAAAACTAGCGAATTTGTTTATAAAAGATTTCATATTAATTGTTAATATTTAGAAATCTTTTTAAGTGTGATTTAAATTTTTCTTTGCTGATAGTTCTGCCTTTGCAGACCTCAAGTGTGTGTTTGTGTGTGTGTGTGTTTGTGTGTGTGAGCTGCCTACGCCTAAATGTTTGTGGGTGTGTGGGTGTGTGTGTTGTCTCTTCTGTGCTTGCTGTGTTTGGATCTTTTGCTTGATGCACAATATTATTTTCTGTTAATATCCATATATATGTATATATAGTTATAGGTGTGTGGGTGTGTGTGTAGTGTATGTTATGTGGGGCTCTAAACAAACTTTTTATTACTTCCGCATCGCTCGCAACGGCGATAGATCCTTCCGTTGAAAGTGCACCAAATATTTGCAATTTAATAGTAAAATATTTGGCCGGCCTTTTGACGCTTGCGCTCCTCCAGCTTGCGATTGATCTCCTGCTGCCGCTCGGCTTTGCTGAGCGCCCGTGCAACATACAAGAACTTGTTGTCGCCCAGCTGCTTGCCGTGCAGCCCAATGACGGCGGCCACCGCCGATTGCGGATTCTCGAATGCGACAAATCCAAAACGGCGCGAGCGTCCCTCCTCATCCAGCATCAACTGCAAGTGCATTGAATAATTAAAATCAAATGTTTAACAAATTGCTGCCCATTGCGGCAGCCTTTGGCTGGGAACGCATGGGCCACAACCACGACCAGGTTCTTTAGGGCGGGCATGCGCAGCATTGAGCCGGAGCGCTGGCTAAGAGAGCTGAGAGCTGGAAGCGGAAAGCATTGAGATGCCTGCTGTTGGCTTAAGAGATGACAAAGTGTGCCACATGGTTTATCTGCAACTAGCTCTCCCTCTCTCTCTCTCGTTAACGGCAACCCCCACCAGCTCCGCCGCCCCGCCCCGGCCTACACAAGCTGCGCTAAAATATTCGCAAAGTAGACAAACATAAATATACGCACCTTGTGACTGGTGATGCGGCCATAGGGCTCGAACATTTCACGCAAATGCTGCTCGGTGAACTCCTCGCTGAGATTTTTAACGTACAGATTCTTGAAATGGGTGGCCTTCTCCTGCTCACGATCCCGTCGGGGTATAAACTTAACCACATGCACCTTCTGATTATTGCATAGCATTCCGTTGACCTTCTCGATGGCAGCACGGGCGGCCTCCTCCGAATCGAAGTGAACAAAGCCGTAGCCGCGCGAATTGCCCTCCTCATCTTTAGCCACATTACAGTTTAGTATGTTCCCAAACACGGAGAAGGTCTCATACACCGCCTTGTTGTCAATCGAACGCTCCAAGTTCTTGATGTAAATCTTGCCGCTGTCCGGTGAGCTGTTGCTGCTGCCGCCGCTGCTGCCACTGGCCAGTGCACCGCTCGAATGGGACGAGCTCGAGGTGTGCCCGGCATTGAGCGAGTTATGACCATGTCGTCCCAGCACGGCTGCAGCGGCCAAATGATTGCTGGCCGCATGGCCGCCGCCAACGCCATGGCTCAAATGGCCGGTGGCCGCGGCATGATGATGCAGCTGCTGCTGATGATGGGCCGCGGCGGCGGCCAGCGTATGATGATTAAGCGCCGGCTGCTGCTGATGATAGTTCGCCGGATTTCCACGGAACGTCATCGAATTGACGAACATTATGGCTGGCTGTTTGTGGAGCGTGGTGGCAGCTAATAGGGTGCAGGTGCTGTAAGGTGGTGTGTGCTGGCTGTGGCTGAGAATTTTGACGGTCTTCGGCAGCGCGCTGACTGTTCTCGTTATTTTCTATTGTTGTTGTTGTTGTAGTTGTGGTTGTAGTTGTTATTATTATTTTCGCTTGCCTCGATTTGTTATCGCTTGGCGCCGTTGCGTTGCGTTTAGTTTAGTTTCGTTTCGTTTCGGTTTTGCTTCTGCTTTCAAATTATTTTCGGCTTCAATTGAAAATGCAAATACAACAAAATACAAAAATACCAATTGCAAACAGGCAGAAAATGTACTCACCAGGTTCTACTCAATTCACACACGTTCCCCTGTCCACAGCAAATACGAAAATCCGCGTTGTTCTCTGAAAAAATCGTTTTTCTCTCACCCAGACTCTGACTCTTTTCACCGTTCTCGCTCTCTCTTTCTCTCTCACTCTCTGTCACTCTATCTCTCTTTTTGTACTTTTTCTGGGACTTTCACTTTTGGCTTGCTCGGGCTTACCCTACACGTACACGTTGCAAACAAAGAGATGCGTCTTATTCTACGTTACAGCAATAAAAAACGTAACTACTTCGGCGTCTTTTTGTTGTTTAATTGAGTGAGTGTTTAATAAAAAAAATCTATATGTTTCTGCCGAGACCTATAGGGATGTGTACAGTGTGACCGCGAGCGGTCAACGTGAAAAATACACTAATTACAATATAAGAAAAATACCAAAGAAACAATTTCGATTTTACAAAACAATCGAGCTTTTCCAAATTTGATAACAGCGATAAATATTTATTTATTACCGTGAACTTGTAAGGATACACGAATATACCCGCGTTACCGTTAGCTCGGACTTTTTGAAATAATTATGTTTGATTTCTTCTCAATATTTTTGTTGTTTCATATTTATTTACTTAAATACATACTTATGGCTATAGGCACGTATCTTTAACGAATCAACAGCAAAAGCCACATGGTGTGGATATCTAATATAAACATATATACACATGTAGATGTGCAAGCAAAACGAATTTTTTATCTTTCAGTTCTGTAAAGTCAGAAAACAGTAAAACATTTGAGTTTATTTTAGATTATATCGCTTGTCAAAACAAAATGTACTTAGTATTCTACATCGTTATACGTCAAGTTCTTTAAGAATATTATCAGTTTAAGATCATTATCAAGTGGAGAAAATTCATTTGTAGTAACCCTTTTCGGCTGCGGCCTCGACAATAGTTCGAATCGCTGTAAAGGCTTCACTGGCCGTCGGCTGTATCTCCACAGCTGGTAGAATGAATAGGTCTTGGCTGTCGGGTGGCCCGCGCAGCTCAAACGTGTATGCTATTGGTATACCGGCCTCGGCATGAGCCCAGTCCATGCTGCCGCCGCTTGAGGGGTAGATAGTCTCGTACAGATTGCCGCTAACGTAGTCCCGCCCACTTTCAGCCTTGATGGCCGCCGATGCCTTCTTTCCAAATTCCTGCAGATCGTCGTAATTGGATACGTGCTCCTTGGTGTAGCCATAGGGAAACATGAGCATCTGTGAGTACGAGTGTAGGGCAATGTAAGTCTTGATTTGTTCCTTCTCCACATTTCCGCGTATGAACTCAATCAGTCGCTGCGTCTCCAGTTCGCTTGCGGCGCTGGGCCCAGCAAAATCATAACGCGTGGGATCGCTGCTAGAACCGGTCGAGTTCCAATGATCGGGATAGTTTCTATTCAAGTCCACGCCACGACAGGTGCCAAACAACTGGCGATTCTTGCGCCACATGCGATCGTGCTCAAATGTGTATTTGTAGCCGTCAGGATTAACGCATGGAAACACAAACCAATTGTAGTTCTTGGCCAGCTTCTGGACACGATCATCCGTCGAGTTCAATAGCTCATTGATTATATAAGTCGCTGTCGCTGGAGCGATCCACTCGCGTGCATGAATACCACTCTCAATGAAAATAGCTTTATTAGCTGGATTATTGCCCACTTTGACGCCCTTAATGTCGTTTCCCTGCGTGCTGCTGCCCAGGTTCAGCACGCTCAGCTGATCCGGATATTTGGCAGCCATACGATCCATCCAATCGTAAATGGTCTTCAGGTGAAAGAAATGCTGCCAGTCGTACTTGGATGCATCGATATGCTCCGGCAAAACTTCACGCATATTGCGATCAATTTTTTCCTGGAAATTATACGTCTGCAAACAAAAGATTAGATAATGGAACCACTTAGGGGAGTAAATCAAAGCGCATACCAAAACACGATGCTGCAGCTTGTAGGTATCCAGCAGATCCGCAAAGTCTGCTACGCGATGAGCAGCGACCAATATGGATAGCTTTTGGCCAATTTCGCGTGCGTGGCCAATAAAGGTGAGGCTGTCGCTCTCCTTCTCCAGTTGCTGGAACAGTTTGATCTGCTCCTCGTTATCAAACTGGACATTGTAAATGCGGTAGTGATCGTAACGTGCCTGATCTTTTCCCGCACCCACTGCGCCGCAAGTGTTGTCCGAAACGCTTTCAGTATTAGCACCACACGCAGCCATGGTTAAAAGTGGAATGACTAGCAGACGCAGGCGCAATTGCCATTTAAGCGTATGCAAAATTCTATATATTTCCATTTGGGAGAGCCTTGTGTTTTGTTATCGTCAACTGTTTAGTACATATATGCCCATATATATATATACGAGAGCTATAAAGAGCACAAGAGCGAGTGCGGGTTAATAAACACACATGCACACACATGCATATATACATACATACATACATCTATGTTTGTCCAGGCAGACAGCTGTTGGGCACAATAATTCGCTGGTAAATGCAGTTTATTGCCGCTATAAATGCGCGCTAATTATTTAGCTACCTGCAGCTGGCTCTTGGTATTCAGCTATAAATTCCATAAATTCACGAGCTATCTTAGCTTTCCAACATGCGTCTTGTCCGTTAGCTTTGATTCGGAATTTATTTTAAGCGCCAGCCATTTTAAAATGCAGCTGTTGGTGGCAGCAATTTAACCATTTGATCCGTTTTGACTAATCCTTATCCGGAATTTTCGACATATGTGTGGGCAGTGTTTGTTACAATTTAATGACCTGTAGCAAATTTTGCCGGCCCGGCCCGCTTGCTATGTACTTTGTTGCAAATTGCATCGATACATCGGACTTAGATATTTAATTCACAATAGCTTGGTTTTGTGGTATCGTCGATATATAAAAGAAGATTAAAGAATATCACAAAAAAGTATTAAATATTGCCATATTATGCAGTTGTGCCCCAAAATAATCGCAATATATATAAATAGTAATATTTAAACGTAACAAAAATTATTTGAAAATAAATGGTATCGATATTGCGAATAAGCTGGAAATATCGATATATTTGCTGCATCATCTTGTCACCACACTTTTTTTCGTCGAATACATAAATTGCGAACCGCAGAAAGTTGGAATTCTTAGTGCCACTGCATAAAAAGAAACTAAAATAAAAGTTTAGTACATTAAAAACGTACATAAAGTTAGTGGTAAGTGAGTAAGCAAGAATATTGTGTTTTAATTATGTAAATGCATTAGATCTGTCTTGAACTTTACTTATTATATTACTTGTCCTGTCGACGCTAGTCTCGCCGCCATTTTCTTTTCATTGCGTGCACTTTTTCTTTTAATTTCACTTAGCGTATGTTAATGTGTACGCATGTTTGCAGCTGCAATTCCTTGTATGTATTATGCATAAAAATAACAGCGCAACATTTATTGCATCAATTTTCAAATAATTGTGTATAAACTTTATTCACAGACTTTGTCACAAGAAAAAGGCCAAGGCACAATTAACCGCTTCCGCTCCTGCTCATGAGTATTCATAGAGAAGGAGCTGAACTTGATCGAATAACTGTCAAAATCCACAATATGAAACGTAGCGCTTCCCGCTCACCAGGCAGAGGAAACTTAGTAAGAAACTCGCGCAGCATGGGTCGTGGCTACGATAATGGCGGTGGGGTGCCGGGTGATTCTCCCGAACGCATGTCACCGGAGCGCATGAGGCGTCGTTTGGACCGCTCGCCGAGCCCCCGTGGTCGCTATGGTTCACCGCATCGTGAGCCCTACATGCGCGGTCCACCCGCTGCAGAGCGTCCCGCTGGCTACAAAGTTCTGTGTGTGAGTGCGCTGCCGCCAAAAGCGCCGGACGAGTTCATCGAGGAGACGCTCTATCGCGAGTACAAGAAATTTGGGGATTTTAGTGTGCGACTCGCACACGACCTGGACGAACGTGTCGCCTATGTTTGCTTTCGCACGCCCGAGGATGCGCGCGAGGCCAAACATCACAAGCCTCGCCTGATAATCTATGATAAAATGGCAATTGTGGAGCCTGTTTATAAGTCAACGACACGGCCGGAATACAGGTATGTAGAGTCGACTATAATACTTATCTCGAGGTTGGGTATTTATGCTTGGGCGTTGAATTTATAGACCTCGTCACTCTATGTCGCCACCGGACTATGAACGTTATCACTATTCGCGCTCGCCCATGGGTCCGGGCGTGCCGTTGGATCATCGTCGGCCACCAATTGATCCGTATGACCGTTATGGTCCACCTATTCATCCGCATGCTGTGCACCCACGTGAATATCGACCTATGCACCATGAGTATCCACACCCGCCCCGCGGCCCTCCAATGCATCGTGGTCATCCTCATGCCCATCCCCATCATCTGCATGGCCATCCACCGCCACATCAATATGCACCGATGCGTCCAATGGCCCCGCGGCCGCACGTGCCGTACGAGAAGCCAGAAAGCAAAAAGGATAAATTTCCCAATTATTTACACCATGTTCAGCCAGAAGATGATCCACTCTCCACGCGTACGCTCTTTGCTGGCAACCTGGAAGTGACTATTGCCGATGACGAGCTACGCCGTATTTTCGGTAAATATGGCGTAGTCGATGATATTGATATAAAGAGGCCGCCTCCTGGCACGGGCAACGCGTTTGCCTTTGTGCGCTATCAGAACCTTGACATGGCTCATCGCGCCAAAATCGAGCTATCCGGCCAGTACATTGGCAAGTTCCAGTGCAAGATTGGCTACGGCAAGGTCACACCGGCGACACGCATGTGGATCGGCGGACTTGGCGCCTGGACTTCGGTTACACAGCTCGAGCGTGAATTTGATCGGTTCGGTGCCATCAAGAAGATCGAATACCAGAAGGGCGAACCCTACGCGTATATACAATACGAGACAGTTGAGGCCGCAACGGCGGCAGTCAAGGAGATGCGTGGCTTTCCACTGGGCGGACCGGAGCGTAGGCTACGCACAGATTTCGCGGAGCTGCCTGGTGCTACCCCGGTGGCACCATTCAAGACCTCAAAGCCGTCATATGACGAGAGCGCCATAGAGTATAGACGACCGGAGTATGATCCCTATTATGAGGAGGCGGCTGTGTATCCTCCACGTGGTGGTTACTCACCATATCCGCCTCGTGGTGGCTATCGTGGACGTGGTGGCGGCTATCGCGGCCGTGGACGCGGCATGTATCACTATCATAACGATGTGCACAGACCGCCGCATCCGAGTGCACTGGGTGGTGTGTCATCTGTGCCGCCACCGGGCGGTGCCGACGATGAATGGCGTCGTCCGCCTGGAGAGTCTTACGATCGGGCGCGTTCTGGTTCACGGGAACCTGGTGTTGAACGATCGCGTTCCCGATCTCCATTAAAGCGTGCACGCTCACCTGGCTCGGATTCAGATACTTCAACGCGGCGCAACGATGCACTCGGCTCGGCGGCGACAGTACCGGAGGTGGCCCGCAAGTGCAGCACAATTTGGACGGGTGCACTCATACTGAAGAGTTCCTTGTTCCCGGCCAAATTTCATTTGACAGACGGCGATACAGACATTGTCGAGTCGCTGATGCGCGACGAGGAGGGCAAGCACAATTTGCGCATAACTCAGAGATTACGCCTCGATCCCCCAAAGCTGGAGGATGTGCAAAAACGCATAGCATCCTCGTCATCGCATGCCATATTCATGGGCCTGGCTGGCTCGACGGTGGACACCGATTGCGATGATGCCAGCGTGCAGACGCGTCCGTTGCGCAATCTCGTCTCCTACTTGAAGCAAAAGGAAGCGGCTGGCGTCATCTCGTTGCTGAACAAGGAGACAGAGGCCACGGGCGTGCTCTACGCATTCCCGCCGTGCGACTTCTCCACGGATCTGTTAAAGCGCACCTGCCACAGCCTCACCGAAGAGGGCCTGAAGGAGGATCATCTGGTCATTGTGGTCGTGCGTGGCGGCACCGCCTAAACAATGGACAAGCTGTGCAGAAAGCTGCTCCCGCTGCTCACAGTGATCGGTGAAGTAGAACAACAAATGCAGGACCCCCAAATGCCCTCCCCCTAACCCAGACGAGTTCTGTGGACACGTAATTTAGATGTCGTAGACTTACACAAGACCCTCTCCAGAATAACAAATACAAATACAAATACACATATACATATGTGCATGTATGTGTATTGGTAGAAGCATAGTTCAATCAATAGACAATTGGAGTTACCTGTGACAACAGCTCCTGGTCCCAGAAAAAGAAGAAGAAGAAGACACACGCACACACACACATATAATACTCTATATATATATATATATATATATGCTGAGTTTTGCAGAATCTGTATTAATCCAATTATTATTGTTCTTTTTGCAGACCACTCAATCAATCTGTTAATCAATCAATCAATCGAACTTATTTATGGTTATTTTTTCATACACATTCTGTTTTCCTGTGTAGTGAGAGTGTAAAAGTTTCTACAGTTCAAAAACAAAAAAGATAAACAAATTTTTTTAATTACAATTGTGCCAAAAGTTTTCAATATTTAATAACTATTAATTGTATATTTGATTTCTAATTATTTTTACAAACAGTGTAAAGATTTCCTCATCCCACACTACAACAAAAAAAAACAAAACAACAAAAACCTAAACAAAAAACCAAACTAAACAAAAGCTTTGTATACAATATCTTTTCGAATGTGCAACTAGTGCAAAAAAAAAAAACAACAACAACAACAAAAAGTTTAAACAAAATGGAAAAAAATGTACATCAGTTTTTGTGTTAACTTATTTTGCTGCATATTGTGTTATAATAGTTCGAATCAGTTTTGAGAGTTATTCATTTTTTGGTTCTGAGAGTTTTACCCAAAGTTTTGGTTGCCGTGAACAAAAATAGTGCAAAAGAAGTGCTTGAATGTTAACTGGGGGCCCCATTAGTAATATCCAATTAAATCTATATATATACTATATATCTATATATGTTTGTGTCCCAAAAGTGATCTAAATGCTAAAATGAAAATTCGCCTATTTTCAAAATCTGAGTTCCGTTCTGTTCTGTTGCCCGCCCAAGGATTCAGGATACAGGTACTTTGTGCGTTTTTTAAAGTGTCTCTGATCTGGGCAATCGGCTACCGAGATATTATTGTGCATTGTGAGCTGTTCCCGAGTTTTTGGTTTTGTTTTCTGTTCCAGCTAGCAAAGAGAACGTCGTGTAGCATTTGTTTCAAAATGTTTTGATTGTTGAAATGGGTTTTGCAAATGTTACATTGGTTTTCTTATGGTTGCGCTCTCCAACAACAAGTTCTGTGTCCTATATATGGTGTATATCGATATCTATATATGATCTATAATGCGATATATATTTAATAAATCCAGGCATAACCATGTTGTATGCCGAATGTTTGTGTCAGTTGAAGTGTCCAACAGATAAAATGATATATATATATATATATATCTATGCATATAGTTTTACGAATTATGATCTGAAGCGACAAAAGTGTGCGTGTATGTGTGTGCATGTGTGTGGCCTATATAATACATAAATATATTATGACTTAACCGATTTATCATATGTCCACAATCTATTGGAATTACTACATAAATTAAATGATATAATTAATTGGTTTTTGTGCAGACGTCGTCCAGTTAATTAAATAAATTGCAATTAATTATGCTTCACCATACTATATATCTATTATATATACATTTAAACGATATTCAAATAAATATGAACAAACGGAAACTCGACTTTTAATGTGTGTGTGTGTCTGTGTCTCGGTGTGTGTGTGTGTGTGTGTGTGTGTGTGTGTGTGTGTGTGTGTCTGTGTGTGTGTGTGTGTGTGTGTGTGGCATATTGATTTAATTTACAAGTGTTCTCAAAGAAATTGTGCCAAAAAGTGAATTAGTGACAATTCGAAAAGCACAGGAAATATAATCCATAGATCTTTTTACCTAATCCCCAATCCCCCCCACCGGCAGGCAGGCTGCAAAACGATGGGAAATCCAATTGAAGCTGTTTTTATGTTTTGTAAGCACTTTGGTTTAATTCTTTACCTTTTTTCATTTTTATCCTACTTATTCTATATCCATTTTCCACTTTTTCTTGTTAATATTCGTTCTTATATATTTATTTATTCTGGTTTTAGATACCCTACACACTCAATCGTAGTACAAATAGAATATGGTGCAGACAGCCACAAATTTGGGCGTCTCGATCGTGTAGGTGACAAAGCCATCTTTGTCGGCATCCCACAGGAAGTTCACCATGGAGCAGAGGCCCTGCATCAGCAGCTCGCCAACGGTCACCAGCACAACGTAACGATATCTGGGCAGGCACAAGGCAAAGGTTTAGGGCAATTTGGGAAGGAGGATCAGTAGCCCACCTGTCGAAATTCAGCAGTTTGATGCTGTTCTTAATCTCTTCGCTGACCTGGGCAGCCAGATGATAGGACTGTCGCGGATGGAACAGATAATCCTCGTTATAGTTCTTGTTCATGATGGTGCGCATGGTCAGCTCCAAGCGTTCCGTGTTCAGGGGATTCTTTGGCTCCAGCCGATAGCTGGGCATATAGCGCACAGGCGCCTGGCACAACAGACAAGAGGAAAGGAACACAATCCGTCTGGGCACATAAACTGGCCTGAGCAACACTTACCTTTGGCGGCGCGCCCAATGCTGCGGCCACATTGCACTTGGTCAGGGATGTGCGCTGGCTGCTCGTCTGTCTCTGCATGGTGACAAAACGAAAGTGTCGAAACAGAATCTATTACATTACTTGCTACTTAACTGGCACTAACTCCTGGGGATTCACGCTGGCACCACCCGCCGCTCGCCCCTCGCCCAGCTATCGCCCATATGCGTGACTTGGACAAATTTTTGTATTTCAAGCCATGCTCGAAGCATTCCCGTTCATTAAGCACACATATTATCGTGCGGCCCAAGTAAGCACAAAATCAATCGAAGTACCTTCTCGCGTTCCTGGCCCAGACAAAGCGTTACCAGGCCCGACCAGTTTTGCGCCGCGCTGGCCATTTGCCGTCACGTGTTCAATTTCAATTTCCGATGTCTCGAGTGCGTCGCGGCTTGCCATAAAACCGCAAATGATAATTATATTATGCCATTTACAGCATGACAAGGTGCCCTCCATGGCTCTGTCGCCGTGGCAATGGCCCGGCCCGGGCCCAAATGTTGAATCGATAATTGACACACATTAACCGGGCACGACTCGGTTAACTGACCTTGCCAGCTGCCAACCAACCGAATGCAGGTGACTCTACCTTAAGATTCAAGTGTTCGTTAAATAAATGGAAAACAGGCATGACTGCGAGATGACTTGTATGCTGGCTAACGAGACGGAGATTTAAATTTCTAGAAAGAGACAGTGATTGAGTAAGAACTTACTAGAGTACCTTTAAGCAGAACTAGAAGTGCATTTTCTTTAGAACTAAGCCTTGCCCGCTCTCATGAGAATCAGCCAGAAGGGCCTTGATTTAAAGTTGTTTTTTCTTCAATTAGAAAACGTATATATAGGACCCTACCTTACAATAATATAGACTTTCTTATGGCTTTAAGGGGCTGCTCATCTCAAGATCAATTCATTTTTATAAAACTAAAAAATCGTTATTTAAAAAAAAACAGTGATTAATGATTTGGCCGAGTTATGGCTAAACAGACTTCTTAGAATAATTGCTTTTACTAATTGATATCTCTCCGTTTTTTTTTTTAAGGGCACGATGCTTTTATCTCTTGATCGGCATTCCAGGATAAAAAGGCCCAGCTAAACTTGAAATTTGGTAATGTAGAGGAAGCAGAAAGACAACTCAGCCACCAAATATAACAAGAGCGATATATCTAGACCTGGATACAACAGAAGACTTGGATTACCACGGAATCAGGCGTAAAAGCAGCAGAATCCTTGCCGGGAGACCGCAGGTGCCCGACGATGTAGCCTTTTTATAAACGTTAGTTTATATATGTTAGCAAATTGAAAATCCAAATAAGTAGGTCTAATAAATTAAGTACATTAGAGCTATGGCTAAAGAATTATTGAAATTGTTATAAGAAAAATGTTTACTTATTTGGGACAATTATTGCGAAGTAAGAAAATCAAATGTAAAAGACAACAAATGCCTAGATGACCAGCTCTATCCTTGGTTACACTATGCCATAGATATAGTCCTGGCGAACAATCAAAACAGATGGTTCATAGATGACCCACATATTCTTGGTTTTACCATACCAAAGATATTGTCCTGGTGAACCTAAATGACCGAAATGGTCAACAAATATGAATGCTTCTTTCAGCAGCCCTCCCAGCAACAGCCCCCTTCCCCTCGACGGTACCTAGTTGACCCACATATCCTTGGTCATACCATACCATTGATATAGTCCTTGTGAACCTAAAGCACCGAATCCCTGCAAAGTGCGCACGGGAACGGTCCAGAAATATGTATGTTTTATGCTTTCAGTACCCATTTTAGTTGCCCTTGTGGCTATGCAATGGAATTTTTCATTCAACAAAATTTTAGTTCATCTGCCTACTGCGCATTTCTGTTCGCCTGGTACTTCAGCCGAATTTTCGTCGAAATTTAGGCACCCAGCTCGCGGCTCGACCGCGCGCCTCGTTTGGGTATGCAATGCTTTTTTTCATTCACGAAAAATTTTAGTGCATCTACCTGCTGGTCATTCCTGTTCGCCTGGTATTTTTGCTAAATTTCGTTAAAAATCGAACGCCCCCTTTTTAACAGTGGTATGTTAAGTAACAGCGGCAGCTGTTAGTTAACAGTGGCATTTTAATTAACAGCTGTTAGTTAACAGTGGACTGTTAAATTAAATTTTTTCCGTGCAGCTACCTGCTGTGCATTTCTGTTCGCCTGGTATTTCAGCTGAATTTTGCTTTGAAAATGTGAGCCCAACGGCCGGGCACAGTGCAATGGGGATTTTACGACCGTTAATTTTTAAATCTTAATTTAAATGTGGATAACGCTTTTAAGCGAATTTTGTTGGGATTTGGAACTATAGGTTCTCCAGGACTCTATCAATGATATCTTATTGATCAAGGATATAATGGGTCATCTAGGAACCATAGAGAGAGGTGGGGCGGCTAAAAGAAAAGCATTCATATTCATATTTAGACCGTTTACCAGCAAATTTTACACGAATTTTGATATTTAGGTTCACCAGGACTATATCAATGGTATGGTCAAACCAAGGATATATCGAGCATCTAGGAACCATAAAAGGAGGAGGGGAAAGCTGCAAGAAGAGCGAATTCCGCACGGATTTGGAACTGTGGGTTCATTAGGACTATATCAATGGTATCGTATTGACCAAGGATATAATGGGTCATCTAGGAACCAGTTTTGTCTTAAAGACTTGGTATACAAATAGCTGTTGCCTTTTGGGTATATATATATATATATATAACCCTAACTTGCATTTCTTATTCAAACTCTTTTTGAGTTACAACGATAAATACTTTACATTTTATTTGGTTTATATATGTATAGTTAATATAATATGTTGCTCAAATAGTTTTCGTTACACACATTAGTTTTGGTATGTTCTTATACATATATACACACATATTTGAACATATACACAGTCAGTTACATAAAAACACAAAGACAGGAATACAAACATACACATCAATATCAAATTACAATTGTTTCATGAGTTTGTTCATTATTTTGTTTGAGTATACATATATAAATATATCTTTTGAATTCAATAATGCGCCTGTTACGCTTTCAAACATCTAATATATCAATATCAATACAAGAGAAAGTATACCAATAGAAACAAAGCAGTACATCATTTGGCCAAGTTAATACATTTTTATGTCCTCAATACTAGACCGTAACGGCAATAAAAAAGAGGGGGCACAACATCAAGGAACAGATTATATGGATTAAATACATATACATATGCATGATAGTTATAAATAGATTATTTGTTTAGAGCGTCATCGTGCGAATTTCGGTGCAGACTTATAGTTAACAATTTTTGGAAATTTTTAAATTGTTTTTTTTTTTTTTTTGTCTTCTTGTTTTTAATCGTGATTTTCATTTAAGATACTCGTACCAAAGTTAGTCTCAGTCGTGTAGTGGTCATGTATATGTATATGTAAAGCTTTAGTTGCGTACGCTTGACCTTTAGCCGTCTCCGTATCGCAGACGTGTGTGATTTGTAACTTAGATTCATAGATATATATATATATATATGCTAATATATAGACGAACATATCATTTGAGTTTATAAAACATTTCTATACGTTATTTTGTGGACACAGATTCAGTGGGTTTCGTTAGTAAATATATATGTTTATATATATATATATATAGTTACTTATAGTTATTTGCTGGATTGTTTTCTTTAAGTATGCCAATAAATAGATGCATTAGTTTACCAATATGTATTGTTATATGTATCTAAAAATGTATCTATTTGTTTGCTTGTTTTTGGTTATTCTCCATTGATTTGTTCTTTGTTTTGCCTTTTAATTTGATGGAACCGTTATTTCATAACGCCACATTTGGTCCAAAATGTAAATATGTAAAATTCTTTGCGCGTCGCCTAATCATTTGAGCGTACTTTGCGCAGCGAGCCGCGATTGAATTTGCAAATTGACTCCAGCAATGCTGAGCGCGTGGGCTCATCCTCGCCAGCGTCAACGTCCTCTGTTGCAATGTTCGGAGTCGATATCTGCCTCTCCACGGCAGCGCTGCTCGCTGGTAGCACCTGGTGCGACTGCTGCGCAGCTGGCATGATTGCTGTGAACATTAACAGATAACAGATTGTTGGGATCAGGTGTGACGTAGACGTAGTTAAAAGAAAAACAAAAGCAAATAGCTACATTTAATACCAGCCAGATGGGGCTCTTCTGGGGTGCTGTCGGAGCGGTTGAAAGAGTCTGCCGTACTTAACCCGCCGCCGGCGGTAACTGTGCTGGTCGATGCAGCTGTCACGGCCGCCAGCGACAAGCGTCCATTGCTTGCTTGGAGCGAACCCTGTTGCTTAAGCTTCGATTGTTTGTGCTCTAACTTCTAAATATTACCAAAAGTAAAAGAAAACAATAAATAACCGTGTTGATAAGCCTACGACTATAACTTCTACTTGACATCTGGTCACATTTACATGCTACTTACAGCTTTCTGCTTTGATTTGCGCTTCTCCTCCTCGGAGCTCATCAGCTCCTGCACGCGTACAATACGCTTTTGGTTCTTAACCGACTTTTGCTCGTCACGCAGACGATTCTCGCACTTAACGGCCGCCTGCCTGAGCAATTCCTTTGCGTTCTGCAAAGAAAAGAGAATTTAGTAAATTGACTACAGATAAATAATTATACAATTTACCAGGGACAACTTAAAGTACGGCTTTTCGGCTGTGGATCCACTGTCAGTTGCATATTGCGTAAAGAATCTGTGACCAAGCAGTTGCTCCAGTGTGGGCAGGCCTGCCTTGCATGCTTCCTTCGATAGTATGCTCTCCAACAGAGATTCTGCAGGTTAACAAAATGAGTTAGAGAGTTAACAAATGAATTATAAACAAAAGATTCATTAAGCTGTTCTTACTTAGCGCTTCGGGGCATTCTGTTATTTGTCGCACGACCGACTCCTGCAGCGGATAGCCCATGGCCATTTCGAACAGCACATGGCCGAAACAGTAAACGTCAACTGTCTCAATTGTGTGTATCTTGCTGTGCTGCACGAAAAATGGTCGATAAAATGCTGGCACACCCACCAAATAGTTCTCAACGTCCAACAGCTTGACGCAGTCATCCACAATGACAATATTTCCCGAATGCAGGTGACCTGTAATCAAAATCAAATTAGAAATATGTAACCCTATATCAAAAATTAAACTTACCATAAGCATAGCCTTTCGAGTGCAAGAATATAAGAGTTTCTAAAATTTGCTTGCCATAGGTCGCCACTTGCTTCATGGAGAGAGCTGTGCGTCCTTTGGGATTGCCGTACTTGCTTAAAAATGGATTCTTTGGCGTTGCCATGCAGAGCACATCCTTGAGTGTGCCATGCTTATGGAATC